GACCGGTGTAACTACCGGTTTGGTGATTTATATAATGATGTTTTGCGCGCTCATGCAAGCTTTGCGCGTATGCGTGCCTTACGCGCGCTGTGCATGTGTGAGAAATGTTGTCAGCTGTGCTACCCGGACAGCTGAGAAACGCTGCACGTGGGTGCGCAGCGTTTGAAAAAGCACTTTTTTCAACCGCAGCTGTGCCGCGCAAAGCAGCTGTGGTTAAAAAAGCAGGAAATAAAGGTCAGGAAAGAGCCCGGGCGGGTGGGTGGGCCAAAACAGCGGCAGACACAGAACCGGTTCTGTATCTGCTGCTCTTCAGAGCTACTGGTTCTACAGAGCTGGACAGAACTGGTAGAATCCCACCCCTGCTTCAATGGCTAAAACCCTGTAACCACCACCAGTTTCTTGTTCTGTGCCAGCCCAGTGTCTTTGTTTTCTCTGCAGCAGCAGACTCAAGATGGAAGATAGGAGTCTAAGCCACTAGTCCACTGCCATTTGCTCCACTGCACCCTCTGGAGCTCATTCCATGTCACCCATCAGCTGGAATAAAGACCCATCAAACTCTGTTGATTTCCAACCACTCTCTAAGGCATGGGTTTCAAACTCGATTATGTCAGTCACCAGACACCTGGAACATGTTACCATATGTGGTGGGCATGTACAGAAGCTAAAAAATATTGGACAAATATACAAACATGGTTGGAAAAGATAATAAAACAACATATAGATTTAAAACCTGAGATATTTTTATTGAGGATTTTACCTGAAAATTATAGTAAAGAAAAAAACATATTTAATCATATACATATTAACAGCAGCTAGAATTGTATTTGCTCAAAATTGGAAAAATGAAAAGATTCCGATAGAGGAAAAGGTGATCATGAAAATAGTGGAATGTGCAGAAATGAATAGATTAACATTAGCAATTAAAGAACAAGATCAAGCGGAATATTATATGATATGGGATTTATTTTATAAATGGTTGGAAAATATAGCAAGAGGTTAAATGAATATTGTTATAATGATAAGATATATAAGGTTGAGCAGTTTTTAATATGAATGTAATCATAGTAAGAAATGTATACTAAATATAAATATTTGCACAAGATATATGTACCCAGTCGACACACATATAACTGAAAGATGGATTTGTTGTAAAATAAAATAAAAAATATTTTTTGAAAAACTCGATTGTGTCACATGATATATCGTGACATATTGTGATGTTTTTTGCCTGATCTGACTGGGATAACCAAACACCTCTGTATGCAGTACACAACATCTAGGTGAGCCTATCAACAGGCATCCACCTTGCTGCTATGATGGAAAAAACAAGAACACATAAAAAAACCCCTCTTTCATTAAAAACTTTTCTTATCTTTTTCCCTTCTCTTCTCTTTTACTTGAATCCTCCCTTTGTTTTTGTTTCTCTCCTTTGACCACAATCCCCTGTATGCAACCATAAAGTTTATAAAATATCATTTTGAACACATTTTTAAAAAAATCAGTTGTGGGACTGAAGTTATCTGTTTTCTTTTCAGCTGTCATCCCTTGAAAATATTCTTGTGCAGCAATTAAGGAAAAAAGATTTGTTTAAAATTTGTCTAGTTGTCAGATAGTGCCAGATTAATGAAACAGATAAAAGAAGCAATTTCATCTTATTTCTGAAAATGTGATAGCATTATATGTATACCATGTAATTTATAACGATACTCTTTTGGAACAAAATAAAATACCTACTAGTGGTGGTAATGTGGCGGTGTATTCCTTTTCCCTCCTGCTTGCACTTTCTGGATCATATACCCATAACTTTATAACCTGACAAAAAATAAAGATTCGTATTACAGAAGAAGGCTTTTTGTTTTCATGAAAAATGCTTTTTAAAATTTCTGTAAATGTTATGTGATTATTAAAATAAGTAATTGTATTTGTTTAATTACAAGTTGAAAGAATTTTATTACTATTAGAAAATAGATTAATTTTCCCAAACAGAGTTAATGAGAAAGGGAATGGGATTGCTCTGCTTATATACTAGTGTTCATGATGTTCATGGATTTCACAACACAATACCTCATCACGAACAATCAGCACTCAAGATAAGCAAAGATTAATATCAAGATTAATACTAGATGAATAATCAAGAAGTAAACAATATCCCAGCCAAGGAACTATCAACTCAGACAAAAGAGCTAATAGTAAATAGTAGCCTAATCAAAGAACCACCAAGGCCGTTCCCACCAATACTGACAGGCAAGCCACTAGTGTATAAACAGAGAACAAATCTCACTCCCTTCTACCACTGAAGGTGAGCAGTGAGCTCCAAGGATTACACACTCTTAACACTGTCAACCGCACATTTAAAAAATTTAAACAGGGCCTCAAGCTGGAATGGGAGAAGTCTTTTACTTTAGTAAAAGATTTATCAGATATATGCATGTAGCCTTTTACCAGCTCTGAGATTATAAATGATGATGAGGAATGAGAATTAATAAGAAAATCATGGCTTTTGCTAAAACACACGTTAATATTATTCAGAAACAGAGATAGGTTAATATTCTCTTTACATTTATTGACTAATTTATAATGAACAAATTTACCTGAGTTGGATCAGAATCCCACGACCTTTAAAAAAAAACTCAGTTTACAAAAATATTGAAAAAATCCTAATGAAAATAGACAGTACCATTTTTAATTCAGAACAGTGGACAAAGCCCTGGTTCTGAACGCTTGTATTCATAGATTTGAAGCTCAAAACAAATTATTTGCAGATATATCTTGTCAGTTTCTTCAAGTTTCCCAATTTAATTCTGTTAATAAAACGATGCATTCCAACTCAGGAATCTACTGTGACTGATTTATTTTATGTTTTACAAATAAAGATGCTTCTATCTCCTTTGATGTGGATGCATTCATTAGGATATTCTTGGCTGTATATAGCAAGGATGATTTGTTGGAATATTATGGGTATCCTTTTAACATTTTTCTTCTACTCCTTGTCCATAGTATTTGGGTACTTGCCTCCATGCAATTCAATATCTATAGTATCCTTGGAAGAGATCATTTGGAAATTTGGACTGAGATATTGTTAGCATGGGATATATCACACAATTCAGCCTCTACTTCTAAGCAACAAAAATGATATAATCTCTAACAGCAGAGTCAATCAGATCATGAATGAATATTTATTTCAAAAAATATCCTAGCATCTGACAGCTGCACTGGAAAAATGCATACAAAAAAGTCTCTGCTGTGGAAGCATGCAGAATGTATATGCTAGCTAGGCAAAATAATATATGTTACCATTGTCTTTACTGACTACACTTAAGAGTACAAAAAAGTGAGAAATAAAGTTACAAAAGGCAGAATGAAAAATAGAACCTACATAAAAACATTTCCTACCATTAACTATTACAGGTAGTCCTTGAGTTACAATCAGTCACCTAGTTCAAAGTTATGACTTAGCTGAAAAAGATGATTTATGACCCAGATCAGAAATTCTTATGGTTTCCCCAAAATCATGAGACTGCCCTTCAGGCGTATGGCAACACAGTTGCATTTATGTCTCATTGTGGCATCCCAAGGTCATGTGACTGTTTTATGACAGTTTTGCCAAAAAACGGCACTTCCAGTTCCGGTAAAACGCCACACATAGCAAGCAAATGCTTCACACTTACAATTGCTGTATTTGCTTAACAAACCCATATGCAGTTACAACCACTGCAAAAAAGTTGCAAAATACTGTCAGTTACAATCACCACAACATACAACTGCAATGTGCAAGCTCCATTTCATTTGTTTGTTGAGGATTGCCTGTTCTTCAATATTGCTTTTTAATTTATGATATTAAACATTGGAAATGTTCACTTCAAGCTATAATCACAACAGGGAAATTGGCATACATTTTATTATGGATAATAATTCTGTCAATGACTTACAAGATGGGCAAATTATATCATAATAAATGTTGGGCATTCTAGGTGCTGACCTAGAAACCAGAAGCTGGTGAGCCTTCTTTAAGCCTGAAAACTGGCTGGAGATTTTGGGCCAAATATTGTCTTTCAGCTCACCCTGCCTCATAGAGTTATTGTTGTAGAGAAAATAGGTGGCAGGCATATTAGGCATATTCACCATCTTGAGTGAACCAAATGGATATTTAAAAAGTGGGAAAATATATAGCAATAATTCAGTAAATAATAACAATGAATCCTACCCTGCATCCTTGCAGCAATGTTAACAGACAGTACTTTCCAAGAAAAATAGGTGGGTGTGGAATGTTGCAAATAGATGATTGGAGAAGAAAAATGGGATTTGGCAGAATATCTGGAGATGCACTGAAGCTAGTATACTAGGAAGGCTTACTGAATACCAAAATGGCTTACAAGGACCAAATCAAGAAGGAAAAAGTGGCATGGGAAGATAAGGTATTACATGGCCAGTACATTAAAAAAACAAACAAACAGGTAAACCAGATAATATCAAGACCTGACAATGGCTAAAAGCAGGAATATTGAAGACAGACAGAGGGCTGCACAAGCCTTAAGAACAATGACATACAAAGCCAGAATTGAGAAGACAGCAACAGATAGTAAATATTCCCTCTGCAAGGCAGCAAAAGAAACAGTGGATCACCTAGTTAACTGCTGCAAGAATGTCACACAGAACTTGCTGTTGACTAGAAACAGCATGGTAAAATAGAAAAAATGGTGCTGGAAGATCTGCAAGAAATGCCCTTTGCTTGCAACTAAGAACTAATGGGACCACAAAATATACAAAGTAGTACAAAATGAAGAAATTAAAGTGCTTTGGGACTTTAGAATTCAGAAGAGACAAGAACCTGTCACATTACACCCCAGATTTAACCATGCTTTATAAGAAATACAACAAAGTCTGGATAGAGGAACAGCACAACAAAAGAGAAAGAAATGGAGAAAATAAATAGAAAATACAAAGACCTACAAATGAAAGTAGAACTGTGACAAAGAAAGCAAAGATAATACCAGTAGCGCTAAGATACACACGGTAGGTGCAATCTCTAAACGTCTGAAGCATCAGTTGAATATCATCACTATTGACAAAATCTCTATCAGTCAATTACAATGATACCTTAAATATCATTAAACAATAACATCTGGCTATCACAGGTCCTTGGCAAGTACTTTATACATGGACAAAAATGCCAAATCGTCTAAACATCTGGCAGGTCATGTGACAAATCATAATGATAATGCCACAATAAAGAAGTTTTCATAGAGCCATATTTCATTCACCATACCCCCTGGAGGTTGTCCCCAAAGTATTTTTTCAAACGGCAACTGGACTTCGTTTTTTCTTGAAGAGATTTCACTTCTCATCCAAGAAGCTTTTTCAGTTCTGACTGAATGGGGGGAAATGGAAGGATTTATATTCCTTGCAATCAACTGGACATTAGCACTCTCTTTGAGAGTCATTGAGGCCACTTGGAGACTTATCTGTACCCTCAGAGTGCAAATGCATGTAGAACCTTCTTGGAACTGTTGAAAGGACTGTGTTGTAAACAGGAGATAAGTGACATTATATCCCTCCCCCCTGTTGAGAGGAGGTGGTTCGATTTTAAGTAGATTGCCTCTTTGACCCCTCTTTCAAACCAGCAGTCTTCTCTGTCCAGAATGTGCACTTTTCTATCTTCAAGAGTGACCCTTGTCTTTAAAATGCTGGTAGACTGCTGTATCTTGTCCTGATGGGTTTGTTCTCCTATGTTTGTGAAGGGATTGTTTTGTTTCTCCAATATACAAATCTGCACATTTCTCACTCTGTTGTACTGTATATATCATATTGCTCAATTTGTGTCCGGGTGTTTTATCCTTGGGTTGGACACGTTTCTGCCTTAGTGTATTTTGGGGCTTAATGTATATATTGTGTTGGTTGAAAAACCTCCAGAGCTTTTCAAATATTCCTGCAGTGTATGGAATGACAAAGTTGCTTCATTTGTTTTTCTCTTCTTGTCTGTTATGGAGGAGCTCATGATGGGTCTTTTTTTGGATTAATAAAGGCCAAGTTGGAATAGCCAAAAATTTTGAAGGATTCCTTGATCTGTTTTAATTCTTTTTCTTTTCCATCTTTGCTGGTAGGCAAACCTTCAGCCTGGTGTTGTAGGGTTCTGATCACTCCCATTTTATGTTCCAGTGGTTGGTGAGAATCAAAATGTAAATACTGATCTGTGTGTGGAAGTTTTCTGTAAACTTCAATGTTAAGGCTGTTAGTGATTGGGGACAAACCCCCAAACAGAATGTGCAGCAGCAGTCAAGCCAGGCAGCCAAATGAGAGAGGAAGGGCCCTAGAGTTTACACACACTGATGACAAACACTGTTTTGGTAGTTTAAATAGTTGTTTAATCCAATTAGAGTTTAAACATTGTCAATCAGTCCATATGTCATTCACAAATATATCCATTCAGTAACTTAGTCCATTCACTAGTCAGTTCTATATCCTTATCTGCTTGTAAAGATATCTTCTCCTCTGATACCTTTCCTTTTGAAGACAAAGCTGAGTATTCACAGGATATCAGCACATCAATGAAATAGTCCTTTCGTTCAGGTATTCAAACAGTTGTAGCAAACAGTAGCAAACAAACAGTAGCAAGCAGACAAAAACAAGCAGAGCAGAGAGAGGTTACGTTTCTCTTACTGCCTTTTATTGCCGTTTGTAACCGCACCCTTAATTAGTTAATTACAAGCAGTTTGGTGCTTAAAGCTACAAGTTACAAACACCTAAACCTTGGTTTTATATATTTATTCACCCAAACTTAGTTGGTGTATCAATGTTATACCCAACATTCTCCCCTTTTGGGTGATATAAATATACAATACCCTTACAATCTAAAACCATACTTTACACAACTCTCTTGGTGCTTAATGGCACCTTGGGCTTTAGTAAAGTTATCAGCTATATTGTCCTCCGACATGCAGTACTCCAGCTGTATCATTTTACTCTTTACAGATTGTCTAAGGTTTAAGTACCTTAAATCTGTATGCTTGCTCCTAGTTTTTACTGCAATATTTGTGGCCATTTGAATTGCTGCCTGATTATCTTCATGTACAATTATAGGATAATTTACAGTTAATCCCATGTCATTCATCATCTGCTTATACATGATTAATTCAGTACATAATAACGACAAACAGGAGAATTCTGCTTCCATAGTGGACAAACTTATATGCTGTTGTCTTATTGACTTCCAACCTATTAATGTTTTACCCAGCATTATGGCTGTTCCCGAAGTCGACTTTCTTGTGTCTCTTTCTGATGCAAAACTAGCATCTGCATAAGCACTCAGTATTAGATCACCTTTTGGTTCTAGATACAGTGCATGGTGTAATGTTCCTTTAAGATACCTTAAAATTCTCTTTAATGCCTTCCAATGACATTGAAGTGGATCATTATTATGTCGTGCCAGTTGATTAACACCATAAGCAATATCTGGCCTTGACCAATTGCTAATGTATGATAAGCTACCAATCAAAGATTGATATATTACCTTATCAAACTTGGGACTTTGAGTATCCATTTTGCAAATATCCTGACTCATTGGAGTCTTTGCAGTCTTACAAAGTTCCATTTTATAATCTATTAGCAATTTAGATATCTTATCCTCCTGAGATATCTTAAAACCTTTCTGTGTTTTCAGTATATTCAAACCTAGATATTTCTTTATCTCCCCTAATTGCTTGATTTTTATTTTCTTAGCTAATGATGCTATTATTTTGTTGGCTTCATCATTAGTTTCTGTAATCAAAGCAATATCATCTGTAAATAATAGTAATAATGATATTTTCCCATTTGTCTCCCTTTTAAATAGACATGGATCGGCTAAACCAGCTTTAAACCCTATATTGTTTAGTTCCTTTACAATATACTGGTTCCATTCATAGCCTGATTGTTTAAGACCATAGAGGCTCTTTTTTAACAACCAATAATCATTATTATTTTCACCTTTAAATCCAATAGGTTTTTTCATGTATACAGTATGTCTTAGTGGAGCGTGCAAGTAAGCAGTTTCTACATCTAGATGGTTGACTATATATTTCTTACTTGCTGCCCACACTAAAGCTGCCCTTAATGTTGCTGCTTTAAGGCTAGGTGCAAATACCTCATCATAGTCATTGGCATCTTGTCTAAAACCTTGGGCTACTAATCGTGCCTTATGGATTATATTACCATCTTTTTCAGTTTTTATCTTAAAAATCAATTTGCAGCCAATGGGTTTTATATCAACAGGTAATCTCGCATTTTCATATACTTTCATATCCTTTAAGGATTTCAATTCCTTATTCATTGCTGCATACCAACTTTCCTTATCTTTAGTAGGATACATGTTTATTTCATCTACAGTATATGGAACTTTATTAATCTGGCACACTGTGTTAGCCTGGTATCTATCAGGCGGTCTAGATATTCGTGTAGTTCTTCTGGGAATTACAGGGCTTGTATGAGGACTTTTTTGAATTACTACCTGTTCATGTTCCTCAGCTTGCTCAGCTATTGGTACTATTTCTTCCTTTATGGGCTCTATCTCTGCCTGTATTTGTCTCTTTACTTTATTCTTAAAGTCACAGGGATAATTAATGGGATTTCTATAGGATTCAATAATTACTTCTTTATTGTTATCCTGTTCTAACTTATCCCATCCTACGTGCTCTAGAAATTGGGCATTGGCACTACATAACACCTTAGATGTGCCTTTCTCCCAAAATCTATATGCCCTATGGTTTGCTTGGTAACCAACGAAGAATAATTGTTTAGCTCTGTGTTGCCCTTTACGCCTGAGTTGTGTAGGGATATGCACCCATGCTGGTGCACCAAATGTGTGCAGGTAACTCAGATCAGGCTTCCTGCCATGCCACATGGTGAATGGGATTTCACCAGTAGTTGTATTAACAACGTTGTTTAATATGTTATTAGCACACATTGTGGCCTCCCCCCACAAAGAATCAGGTAATCCAGAATCAGTTAACATTGTTCTAACCATTGCCTGTAGTGTTTGGCCTCTTCTCTCAATAAATGCGTTGTGTTGTGGTCTGTATGGTGCAGATTTCTTGTGCTCTATTCCAGCTACCTTTAATCTATTCTGGAATTTGCTGTTAACAAATTCCGTACCATTATCTGTCACCAGGGTTATTAGTTGCCGTTTAGTCTTTCTTTCTGCAAATTTTAACCAGTTGAAGAAATGTTGATATGTTTCAGTTTTGCTTTTCATTAGGTAGCAAAACCCATATCTAGAATAATGGTCCATAATGCTCAGTATATATCGAGCACCCCCCCTACTGGGTTTCTTTGGACCTATAATGTCTGCAAATACTACTTCTAAAGGTTCTTTAGTTTTGAAACCATTTAGCCTATTTGCAGGCAATATTTTACTCTTATCTTCACAGCAGACATTACAACGCAAATATTTATCACAAGGTTTTAACCTTATTCCATCAGATAACTCTACTGTACGTTTTAGCATTTTAAAATTTACATGCCCCAAACGCCTATGCAATAAATGGATACATTCATTATGAGGCTTTATATTGTTAAATACAGTCTGTGCCTCCCCTTTCTTACTATCATGTAATACATACAACGTTCCATTTAAAGCTGCAGTTACCTTTTTGTTATCTTTTTCAATTATGCAATTATTATCCTTAAATGTAATTACATAACCTAGTTTGTCTAATACCCTTACAGAAAGCAAGTTCACCTTTAACTGTGGTACATACAACATTTTTATATCCTGGTTTAAGCATGGACAGTATGCAATACCTTCTCCCTTGGCCTTGAGGTTCCAGCCATTAGCAAGTGATATATGTTGAGAGCTTGTAGACAGTTTTATAAATTTTGTCTTATCTCTCGTGATGCAGTGGGATGCACCACTGTCCACCACCCATAAATCATTCTTCACATCACAGTTGCTAAACGTGGCTAGTTCAAAAGATATTGTATTGAGCAATAGCTTCAACCATGTCAGAATGGTTGAGGCAACAGCCATGCCAAGTAACATAGGGACAAGATATCAAGAGACATTGACTGGCTTGTTTAACCAATGATAAATGGAATTACCAACATAGGAACCAATTATCCTACCAACAGCAGAGAAACTATAGCCAACAGAGAGAGACCAAATGCGATCCTATTTGGCAGGAAACTCCAAACAAGGGAGCCTATCTGTTGAGACTTTGCAACAATAGACTAAGCCAGCCAGAACTATGAGTAGCTAAGTGGCAATAAGAAGATATGGAGAAGCCCTCTATTGGTGTCTCTGCATATATGCCTATACACTAACAGCCTGTTAGTAGAATTCATTGCAAGAGGAAATGAGCAAGAAAGAGGAAAGCTAATTAGTATATCCCGATGGTAAGGTGACCCAAAAGAGGGGCAAGCCTGCAACCCATTTAGCTTTCTGTAAAGAAAAACAAAAGAAATCCTCATTTTGATCCTCTTGTCAACTCTCTATTGAAAAATGGCCTCTCATGGAGGGAGAGTTAGAGAAGTTTCTGCTTCTCACAGAAAAGTTCTGGGGAGACATCCAAGGTCAAACCACCTGGTTAAACAATGTCAGGTGCTGGGTTGAATGATGTCCAAAGGCTAAAACTGAAAACTAGAGATCTAACTAGAAAAGAAAGGAGGCAAAATCTTTCCTTCATCACACTTTTTGTTAAGCCTAGAAAGGCACTTCTCTATATTTGAAACAAATACATTAAAATATATGTAAAATACATATTCAATGGTAGTTAGCAGCACTAATTCAATTCTAGTGACTGAAATAATATTCAACTAAAATATAATTTAAAATAACAATAGTTTTTACATTTGACCATTATGGGAATGGTTAAGATTTCTTTCAATGGTTTCTATTAGTCCTAAATATCAAATTTATATCCTCGCTCATCCCACTCTTTTTAAAAAAAAATTCAATCTTGTCTGGTTCTTGGAGACTGCCTGGAGAGGTCCCTCTGGTTTTCTTGGCAAGATTTTTCAGAAGTAGTTGTCTCCTATTTGGGGTTGGGAGAAAGTGACTGGCCCAATCATCCAGCTGGCTTTGTGCCTAGGGCGGAAACTCAACTCCTGGTTTCTAGCCTAATGCCATGGAAAATTTTCTTTCAGTGTTTTCAGTTAGCCCTAAATATCACATTTATATTCCCACTCATAAGTACTACGAGATGACATTTATAATTAAATATGATTTAGGCTTTAAAGAAAAAGTATTAAGTATGTTATCTTGAAATGATTGATTCTTAAGCAGTTTGTTGAAGTCAGCGTAATTGCCAATGGGTAAGAAACACAGTTGCAAAACTCTAGATTCAAAAAAGCACCCATAGTTGAAGATATATAAATAGAAAGAAGTGCAAATGTATAGATATTGTTTTACCTGTTCTCATCTTGATAAATATACCATGAGAAACAATCCACATCTGCTTGGATAGATAAGATGCGTTCCTCATCATCAGGTGACTATAAAAGGAAAAATAATATTTATTTCTTTTTTTCATAGTATCAGAGTTATCCAAGAAGTTTCTTATGCATATCTATGGATATAGTTTTACATATTTGTAAAAATAACTGGATTGGATGAAGGTATAAATTATAAAACAATACGTGCATATGATACAAAACCTGAAGAAGTAATCAGTCACAAGGAAAATTCAAAAAGTCTTGACACGTTAGAATATAAAACTAAAACAAACCAAATAACAATATAAGGTTTATAATAAATATCGGAAAGGGTTGCCTTGAGAAAAAAAATCTGAAAATATTCTACATTCTTAAAGCATAACAAGTTGGTTAGGAATCAGCAATTGCTAGTGCAATCTTTGGTCTCACTGGAGGAAGAATATTTCTGCTTCTTATTGTGTTAATATGGTCATAATCAGAGGGATGGCTGGTAGCTTGGGGCACTCCCCAGGGGTGGGATTCAACCAGTGTTACAACCGGTTCAGTGAGAGTGCGTTTTACACGTGCATGTGCAGCATTTGCAAAAAATCATAAGTTGTGCCACCTGGACAACTGACAAGTGCTGCGCACAGGTGCGCAGCATTTGAAAATCTTCTTCTTTCCTGCTTTTTCAACCTCAGCTGTGCTGCGCAAAGCAATTGAAGTTGAAAAAGCAGGAAATAAAGGACAGCCAAGAGCCCAGGCAGGTGGGTGGGCAAGTAGAAGGTCATTGCAGCAAACTGGTTCAGTGTCAGCTGCTCTTCGGAGCTGCCAGTCCTATAGAACCGGGCTGAACCAGTAGCATCCCACCCCTAGCACTCCTTCTACCTTGCTAATCTTTTAACCTTCTGAATTTTAAATTTTGATTCTTACTTTTAACTTGTAAATTTTAACCTTATTTTTAATTTTGTTTTTAACTGTGCTTTTAGTCATGTTTTTATATTATTTTATTATCTTGTTTGTAAATCATCCAGAATCACCTAGGTGAGTTGGGCTGGGTGGTGTAGAAATTTGAGATAGATAGATAGATAGATAGATAGATAGATAGATAGATAGATAGA